TCAGTTGAAATCTGTGCCTGGGTCATTCCAAATTGAGGTGATGCGCCTCGTGCACAGACCCTCCGCCGGATGCAAACAGACCCTGCATCCCGACGAATAGCAACACACTCACCCATTTTCAAGCCATATAACCTCCAAACCAGCCAGTTGATAGACATAGCTGCCATGTTAATTACTATGTAAAAATCTTTAAGAGATGTTTTGTTTTCATAGACAAACATAGGAAAAGGTGTTTTATGTCAATAATCTCTATCAAATCTTGACTGCATTATGGCATTGCAATGAAAATCATCAAGACTTTTTTTTCCTTCTGAACAACTTATCATCGGGCCTAGCTTGTTGGAATCGTGCTTTTCCAAGCTTTTCAAAGGTGGTTCTTATATGGGTTGAAGCTCATTATTACATTTTGTGGAGCTCAAACAATGTGTGAAATGCTATATTTTACAATAAAACCGTCAAGACTTCTCTCTTCCCCAAACAACTTATCGTCGGGCATAGCTTGTTGGAATCATGCTTTTCCAAGCTTTTTAAAGGTGGTTTCTACGTGGGTTGAAACTCATTATTAAATTTTGTGGAGCTCAAACAAAGTGTGAAATGGTACATTTTACAGTAAAACCATCAAGACTTATCTTTCTCCTGAACAACTTATTGTTGGGCCTAGCTCATTCGAATTCTGCCTTCTCCAGCTTGACAGAGATGGTTTTTATGTGAGTTAAGAGTCATTGTTACATCGTGCGGATTGTATCTCAAAAAGTAATCACTACTCCGCCGGAGCAACTTTATAAAAGTTTTACTGCCCAAGCGGAGCTATTTTGAAACAAATTGCACTTCTCCACCAGAGGCATTTAAAAAAATTACATTGCAGTGGAGCCATTGTCCAAAATGCTGCATTGCTCCAGTGGAGCTGTTTTTAAGAAAATGCATTACTCTGGCAGAGCCATTGAAAAAAAAAAAATACCCTGCTCTGCTAGAGCTATCATTAGTAATCGCACTGCTCCGGCAGAGCCATTTTGAAAAAAATACACTGCTCCGGCGGAGCTATCTTTAGAAGAAATTGCACTGCTCCGGCGGAGCCATTCAAAAATATATATATTGCTCCAGTGGAGCCAATTGAAAAAAAAAATACACTACTCTGCCAGAGCTATCTTTAGAAGAAATTGCACTGCTTCGGCAGAGCCATGAAAAGAAAATGCTTTGCTCTGGCGGCACCATTGTTATAAGAAATTGCACTGCTCCAGCAGAGCCTACTCAAACAGAACTACCTAAAAAAAATATTGCTGGAGTGGAGCCATTTTTAAAAGAAATACATAACTCCAGCAGAGCTATTGAAAAAAAATATATGTGCTCCAGCAGAGCCATTTAGAAGAATTTGCTCCA